TGTAAAACCTATTGATTAAAAACACAGAGGCTGGTGTTAGTCATTTAGTCTGTGAAATGATGCAATGAGGGGAGAAATTTCTCCTCTGACTTTTGCATTAACCTTTTATTGACTGCTTGCATACCCATAATTAACACACACTTTAGCTAAAGTGGTTAATTTTAGCATGGTGAACAGCGTCCACTAATGTAGCCGTAATCCTGGACATCCAAACGTAAGTGTCACCCCGGGGGATGTCAGCGGACAGCGGCCCCCCTCAGCTACATCAGTGCGGGAAGGCAGACCCTCTGGATAGTCGTCTGCTCCCAGGCCGCCAACAGGACACCTGTCAGCTGCTTCCTGTTTTGTCACTAGATCATTCAGGCAGAGCCATTCCTAAATCCTAAGCAAGAGTCTGAGTGCAGCTTGGAGAGTTCTTTGGATTGAAATAACGTGAGTTTGGGAGGTAGAGAGATGAAGTATGTATTCTCCTTGGCCTCCTTGAAAGGCCTCATGAAAGGAACAGGGCTTCCTGGTCAATTCAAGTTTATTTGCTAACCCAAAGCATTAAAGAAAAGATTTTTTTCTTTGGGATAGGAGACGAGAGGACAAAGCGGAAAGGAAGAACCATAACAATTCTCAGTTTCTTACTGTTTAGCTGGGTTCAGAACGGTCTGCCACCTGTGGGAACGCGGTGGGGAAATGTTTATGCATTTCTTTCTTCCTTTAGAAAGATCATGCAGCTCTGGTCATTAAAACTGGCTCATTTTCACGCAAAGGCTGGCGGGGATGACACCAGCCCTCCCTCGTTCTCTGCGTAGAAACCTGTCCCAGGTAGGAACACGATGTGCACCAAAAACAAAAGCCGGGGTTCCATGCTTTTCTGCCCAGACGATCTCTGCACACACGGCACTCTGTCAGCATCTTGGTTTGGCGAGGGGTCCGTCAGCAGCCACCTGGCAGGCAGGGCCCCCCAGTGGATGTTGTCCAAGGCAGGAAGTCACTGAGAGAGCAGGGAGGCATGGCCGACGTGTCAGAAAAACGGAGCTCAGAGCATAACAGCTCCAGCGCCTGGAAAAACCTAAGCCCAGCTGGAGGCCTGATGCAGTGGCTCTGCCTCTCCCGGGACCCAGCCCCATGTTGCTGGGTAGCAAAATGGCGAATGGCAGTTCCAGATGGCGCTTCCTCATCGTTCAGAGACCAGGGCATTAGAACATCTTCCCCCTTCGCTCTTCCATACCAGGCCTCTCGTTGTCACTCTTCACCCTTGCCCCCAGTTGGGTCACATGCCTTCCCCTAACCCACTCCCTGGGGCTGGGAGAGTGGGGTGTCCTAACCGGAATGAACTAGTCGCGGCCGTCCCCTGACTGTAGAGGTGGGGTCCATGCCCCTCAGACCACTTGGCGTGGGGAAGGCTGGATTCGCAGGAAAATTAGAATCCTCTTTGCGGGAGCAGTAGGCATAGACATAAGACAAGTTTCCACCATTGAGCATTTCTAAAACATTTCCTAAGAGAACTCGGGGCCCTTTAATTTTGCCAGGGCCTGTGGAGTAGATGTGCTGAGAAACAGTCCGACTTTATTTTCTATCAATGCCACTCAGCAAGTCCGACGACAGGGCCCCTCCTGGACCCCAGGTCTCCAGGAACAACTGCTAAGTCCTGAGTCTGAGCATCCCAGCCCATCCCTGACACGTTGTAGCAGCCTGAACATACACGCCTCCGCGTCCCGGAGTCCGGCGTTGTGGCGGAGTGCGGCGACGGGCTCAGTTCCCGTCAGGCCGGAAAGAAGAGCTGCTTCCGTAGCTCCAGGGCGTCCCCAGAAATGAACCAGGCCGGAGGGAGGGCGTGGTCACGGGCTACGGGCAGCTGCCTTATTGGCATGTCTCATCATCACTGGTACTTGGCAGAAGCAGTAATAGCAATAATAATATTTCACAATTATCGAGCGCTCACCGTGTGCCAGGCAGGGTTCTCAGCACTGCCCATGCAGTACTGAATTAATTCATTTACCCATCACCGCAGCTCCACTGCTAAGGTACTGCCACCATCATCATCGTCGTCAGCATCCTCAGCGTCATTCCCACCTGACAGGCAGGAAACGGAGGCTCAGGAGGGTCAGGCACTTGCCCAGCAGATGTCACGCGTCCAAGTAGCAGCGTTCCAGGTGTCCAGAGAGCATACTCTTAACCCCCGTCCTTCGATCTCCCGGCTCCTCCGTCTTAGGAAGCGGAGACGGAAGAGAGGCCAATGAGTGATCTGAGCAAGGGAAGTGAGGGTTAGGGATTCGCAGTCCTTTCCTTTTCAATTCCACCGTCTGGCAGGATGTTGACTCAGACAATACATAATAATTTGAGTTGGGGTGACTGTCCTTTCTCGTAGGTACATAAATCACCTCATATAACAAGCCCTCTGCTGGGCCCCGTATTTGGAAATTGGCAAGGAGCCAGGGGCACTAAAGGAAGAACTTTAAAGATCTTAAATTAAGGCCCCAAAGAAACGCAGTAAGGGGTTCCACCTCTAGCCCAGGGGGAAGCGTTGAATATACTCAACGCCTAGCCCCTCAGGGCTGCACAAACGGGAGGTAGTTCCCACACCAGCCAGTCCTTCGATGAGAAGAACAAAGGCAGAAAATCGGGCGCACCTTTTCTGGAAAGAAGAGCCAGTGGGCTCGGGACGCTTGTCCACCACGCACGGCCCACACAAACCTCTAAAGCAAGTTGAAGTAATTTCAACACTTTCTCAGAGTGAGGGGGCAAAGCCCATCTGACGGGTGAAAAAGCATCTCTATTGACAAACCTTCTGATATTTTGGTATTCTAGGTGGGTCAACACTTATCACAGCCCTTTAATCTGCCAACCAGCGTAATGTGTGCGCAGATCATTGCTCCGCCGCGAGATTGAGATGCTCAATTCGGAATAACTTTTCCTGGCCCGCCAATTGAGCATCACTCTTGGATTCCCAGGCAGAGAAGAAAGCACAGTTTAAAAAGCTTTGCGGAGTTTTTCGTAATTAGTCTCCGCTTCCCTGGAATATTAATTTCCCCCATCCCTTCTGGGTGATTCAGAGGCTGTCCGCCCAGCCGCGCAGGGACACCCTCAGACCCACGGCGGCCAGCGGCACCGGCCGCAGCCCCTCCCACTGAGAACAGCACCCTCTGTTCTCGGTGCTGCGTGGGTCTTATCAGTGCACACAGTTCAATATTTATGCTAAGAGGATTGTCAAAAGTAGCTTCTGTTGCTTTAATTCTTGTTTTAAATAAATAATGAGAACATTTAAACACATTACTCTCCTTGGGGCCCTGAGGTCAGCTAATCTTATTATTTATGAAGTGATGTGCTACATAATAGTACTTAGTGCATGTTAACAGACGCTATTATCCGGGCCTGATGCGGGGAGCCGAAGATATATTGGAATGTTATGTGTAATGTACGACGGATTGAGTGCTGAGGATGCCGGTATAGCAATTAAGCACATGAGAAAATAGGTGTTAAGTTGAAGTATGTTTTCCTGTGGGGATCCCCTCACCATTAATAATTCCCCAGAGGAGAGGATGTCTTTTAGTTAGGAACCTGCCCTACCATCACGCTTGGAAATAGGGCCAGGGCGTTCCATTCTTTGATCTCTTCGTCGTTAGTTCTACACAGAAGACACGTAGTGGGCAGGACCGCTGCTTAATTGATTTGGAGAGCAACGCGGGAAGCGTGGCGTGGGGGCGGGGAGGAACCCATGCAACTCTTCCCGCATCCTCCGAGCGCAGACAGTCCCCAACTTAGGATGGTGTGACTTCTGTGTTGGGTTTTGTTTTGTTTTGTTTTGTTTTTTGACTTTGCCATGGTGTGGGAGCGATACATCTGAAAAATCAGTGTGTGAGATGTTCAATGCTTGACTATAAAATAGGCCTTGTGTTAGATGTTTGACCCAACTGGAGGCTGATGTCAGTGTTCTGAGCACACGTAAGGTCGACCCAGCGGAGCGAGGATGCTCGACAGGTTAGGGGGGTTAAAAGAATTTTCAGTTTTTGATGTTTTTAGCCTACAGTGGGTTTAACGGGACGGGAGCCCACGGCCCGCTGAGGACCCTCTGCGCTTCCTCTCAGAGTGCACACTGTCACCGCCTCTGCTGCGGGAGGGCAGAGGAATCTTTCTTCTTTGTCGCAATCTGTGTCTCCTCTCGACTCCTCTTTTCTCTTTCCGATAAATAAAGCTCAGGCCAGCCTTAGACACGCTGGTCTGGACGCCCACCAAGGTGTGGAGAGGCTGCCCCAGCCCTTGGCTACACGGCTATGCTGTAGTCGCATATGATAATTAATTTCTCTACTATTGATGAATAATCCATTTAATAAAAACCATGATTTAAGTGTTTTCCTTAGGGAGTAACTCTTGCTAGCCTCTTAATTTAATTTTGTGGAAGTTTTCCCCACCTCTTCATCAGCGGAAATGATTATTAACCTCTATTTGCATACATCCTTATAAATCGGTCTCTCCTTGGAGCGTCTTTTCCCAAGCCCAGCAAGCCGGGACACTTGTAAATCTCCGGGATCTCCAAAGTCAACCCTGGCCTGTAATATTGTTTAATCTATTCTCGGACGTTTTAATGCGGTAAATGTAATTTAATCTTTCCTGGTAATCTAGTAAGACATTGAAATCCCACAAACATTTAAATCTGATAATGGCTTAATCACATACTTTAAATAACAGTTGAGATCATGAAAATATAATGCACCATTTTAAAGGCAGGGTAACTGAATTTCCCTGACAATTGCTTCTCCGAAGCCACTCGAGATTCTGTGGATGAGGGGATTGGGGGGAAAAGACGCTAAGGAAGTTCCAGCACCGTAAAGAACAGTTCTTCCTCGTCTCAAGTGCCCTCTTTCGGCCTTACAGGGTCGCTCTTCCCCACCCCGCCGCCGCCGTGCAGGACTGCCATTGGAGCACTTGGCCGAGTCGCCTCAAGCTGCCCTTGGGTTCGGGTCTTCCGGGCGTTTCCCCCGCGGATGAACTGCCTGTTCTTACCCTTCCAGGTGCCAGTCCCGAATGGCTCGGACTCTGCCCGCGGACCAGAAGCCCGAGTGCCGGCCGTACTGGGAGAAGGACGACCCCTCGATGCCCCTGCCGTTCGACCTCACAGACGTCATCTCAGAGCTCAGAGGTCTGCTTCTGGAAGCCAAGCCCGAGAAGGAGCACAAGTCTTAGGTGGAGGACGAGGAAGATGTTTGGGCTTCTCTCCTTCATCCCCGTCCGGGGCTTGGGCGAGGGCCGTGCAGGAGGGTCCACCTTTCGATCGTAGAGCCGGGTGCCAGTTAGAAACAGCTAGGGAAGGCAGCGCCTGAGTATTACTACGGCGATGTTTGAAAATGACAGTGTTGTAATCTGACCTGGTATTAAACACGACTTCCCCCTCCCCCCATTTATTCCCCATTTGGATTTTTAACGTGCACCATTCAGCTCCCGAGGCCAAGGTCGGTGATGGGGTGAACCTAGCCTGTGACAAAGCCTAACCGACTTTCTCCCTTTACTCAAGAGCAGATGACTCTAAAGTCGTCTGGAGAACACAGAACTGATAGAGCCGCCCCAGTTTCTCACCATGACGCTTACAGGCAACCCACGCGATGCGGCAGCTGCTGACCGCGTGTGGCTTCTTACATTCGAGTTCAACTTTAATGGTAATCAAAAGTTCAGCTCCTCGCGGGCACTGGGCGCATTTCCGGTGCTGGGCAGCCACGTGGGCGGCTACGGGCTCCCGCACTGGACAGCGCAGGTACCGAACATTTCGGTCGCCACAGGAAGTCCTCGCGGGCCATACCGCTCCACGGAGCTCGGGAGCAGGACATTCTCTGCCCCAGTTCCCTGTAGCTGCTGCCCTCACAGGCAAAGGAAATTGAAAAGACAGCCGCCTCCTTGCAGAGCGGCCTCCTTCCCTTCTCCGAGAAAGACCAAGTGAAAGCCCGAGTCAGGCCTTCTGTGCCGCGCTCACCGGAATGCAGACGTGTTGAAAATTAAAATAAAGCGGGCACCCTCCCTTGAGGAGGGTGCCCTGATCTAATGAAAGAGACGTGGCCCCATTTACACTGCTTCCCAGATTTAGCCAGCGTAGCATTTTCTCTCTCTAGTTCCCCCCTTTGCGTATAGTGACAGGGGGGACTGAGGTTTGAAGACCCCTGGTGGCCCTCCAGGTGACGCTGGAGCATTAGAGAGACAGCGTAGAACAGAGGTTGAAAGCTGGGTCCCGGCCAAAACTCCCATTAGCTTTGTGACCTTCGGCACGGCACTGTGCCTCAGTTTCCCTCATCTGTATCATGGGCCTACTGAAGGCACCGACTCACGAGGTCAAGACTTAACAAAACTGTCTAGCTATAGACATACATGAACAAATTCTGACGTGTAGTTAAATATCCAATAAATACTAGAATAATTAATTACCTACCAGGACGCTGGCCTGATGGAGACGTGTTCCCCTCCCTTCCTCAGTCCTCGCACCGTTTTTATCTTGTGATGCCGGGACATGTCTCCGTCCCTTTGGTGACCCCTAGAAACCATGAGAACAGTGTGCCGCTCTCCCAGCCTGTCGCCTTCTCTCGTAACCGTTTGCTGTAGCTGGAAGGCCAAGAGCATTTTTGCCCCTTAAGGTACATTGAGGACCACGCTCTCTCCTGCCACCAGAATCTCGCTGGTTCAAGGCTTGCGTTCACTCCACAAGGGAAGTCACATCCACAGAGAGGTCACGGCATGCAAAGCAGCCGGGCCTCATCACCTTGAGACTGGGCATGTCCTCGAGCCTCGATGTCCTCGTCAGTAGAGGGGATGAAGCCCGGCCGCTCAGCATTCGCCAGTTAAATGGCATCGTGTAGTGTAGGTAAAGGGTGCCTGGCACAGAGATGTCACAGACCGGGCACTCTGGGGCCATCTGGCCTAGTGTTTTATGTGGTTCCCACTATGTTTGCTTTTCATTACATTTCACAAGGGCCAATAGGTGAAAAATTGGGGGATTTCATATGAAATAAAAATATGTGCCGCCTCTTTAGAATTCAGGAGACCTGGCAGCCCCAGGCATGGCGAAGAGCTAGGTGTCTTCTCACTCTTAGGTAGGGTGTGACCGCTCCGTGGCCCCATGGCTCCTGGGTGTCACTTATTGTAGACCTGGCCCGCCCCTCCCCTTCCTGTCTGTACTCTCCACGCCTTGCTTGTACCCCCGTAGTAGAAATAAATGATACTGTGTAGTGCTCACCACAATACACGTGTGTGACTGTCGCTCTGTGTTCGTGGACTGCTTGTACTAATATGCCACGTACATCCCAAAACATTCATAAACAATAAAAACATTAGGGGGATGAGAGAAGAGACCAGGAGAGGTTCTGCAGTTTTCTCCTGCAGCACAGTGGGTGGACCTTCTTCCTCGGCCCGGGTGGGGCCCTGGGGGGGCCAGGGTGGGGGTAGTTCTCCAGGCCCCCTGGGCGGGGCCAGGTGGTGGGCAGCAGGGTTGGAGAGACCACTCTCTACAGTGACCCCGAAAGGGGAGGTCACATGTCCTCAGAAGAACCGGTGGCTTTCAGTAAGTGTGAGCGCAGTATGTTTGAGGGTTATACAAGGTCTCCCGGGAGGTTTCTGGGGCATAGGAGGAGGAGAGGCAAGAGGCGACAGAAAGGGGGCTGCTGGGGACCCAGACAACCAGCTCAGTTCCAGAGGGGCCAAGGGCAGGCCCTTCTCCCCCCGGGAGCTCGGGAAGGACTTTCCTGGGAACACGGCACAGGCTGTGTTGAGGGAGCAGGGAGGCCTTGCCCCTGTGACCTACCGTCACCGTCCCTGCCCGCTTCTTCTCTTGCTGCCCCAACACCTGCCGTCCCAAGAAGGCGGCCTGGAGACAGCGCTCCCTCCCGCCCGTCCTCACAGCTCAGCACACCTGAGCCCCGGGCACCCAGGGCCAGGCCCCTGCCCTCCGGGGGCTCCTCCGTGCCAGGCCCCTGCCAGGTGCTGGGCGTACGTAGCGGCCAGAAGGGGCCCTTACCCCGTAGCAGGGAGGCAGAACTAGACCAGCAAATAAATAAGATGCTCAAAGTGCCAGGGAGGGAACCCCCACCCGGGGCGGGGGAGCGCAGCTGGGGGCCAAGGGGGTGGCTCGGGCTGGGGGGCCAGGGAAAGGTGGCGGTGGGGAGAGCTCTTCGGGAAGGGATCAGCGGGGACAAGGGCCCGGGGCAGGAAGCACTCAGGGTGGGCTGCTGGGGGAAGAGAAAGGACCACTGGGTCTGAAGCAAGGCCCCAAGGACGCAGTGGTGGAGAGGCAGGTGGAGCGGAGGTCGGACCAACGCTTGGATTTGATTCCGATGCCAGGAGGGTTCCCTGCAAGGGGTGCAGCAGCTGAGATGATGTTCTTAAACGCCTTTAGGGGACCGTTCTGGCTGCCAGCTGGATTCCCAAGGGTCTCTGACAGCAGGCGGCTCGGTCCAAAGGCTCAGCATGTCCCTCGTCCTGGAGCAAGGTCTTGCATTGGGTACGGCGTCTTGCGAGCTCCCACGCTCCTGCCGCCGCACCCACGCTGGTCTTTTCCTGCAGCCTCCTTGCCAGGGGGCTTTGCTGGGCAGAAGAGTACATGATCATGGCGTCTCTTGGGACACAATTTTAGTAATAAGCTTCTAAACCCACCACTCGCTGAACTGAGAGATGCTAGCCTGTGACTCCGTAGGCCCTTTGAATGGATACCCCACATTCGGAAGGGTTTGTGTGTTTCGAGGGACAGTATTTTCAAATGCAACTTTTTTTGTTTTCCTGCTCCAGCTAGGGCTGATTTTACCACTGGGCAAATTGCATACATGTGGACCCCTGCCACGCTAAATACTGTTTATTTTGGAGATCTGTCAGAGGCAAGCGCGTGGGAGACAGGACTCTTATTTGAAAAGGCAATTCCCCAAACAGATTGAAGAGGAGAGGAGCCGCGCGGATTAAAATGCGCCAAAGTGGTAATGCCGTTGATCCAGTTTGCCTTTGTTACTTGGTGATTAAATGGTGTTTTTAATTACATTTCACTGGGAGCCATGGGTACTGCAGCAGCGAAATCAATTTGACAACCATAAAGGGGGAGGGGCGGCCCAGGAAAGGCAGGCAGCTCCGGGGGGCCGGGCGGGGAAGGGGAGAGGCAGGGGAGGCGGCCAGTGACGGCTTCCTGCAGGCTGGCCAGGCCACCTGTGGCCGCTGCCGCCTCCGGGAGGCAGGTGTCCCTGCTGTTGAAGAGGGACGCACCTGGCTCTTGCTCACCTGAGCGACCCATGTCGAACCCAGACCGGTTGGGAACGCCAGGAGAGCCCCCGAAAGGTCCGTTTCTCGTTTCTCTCTTATTAACAAGGGAAAGCGAGAGCACCCCACCACCCTGCAGCCCAGAGCCCCCATCTCACACGGCAGGCCCAGTGCCTGCGAGAGGCAAGACGTCCTTGCGGCCATCATGCCCGGACGCCCCTCCCCAGCGGAAGACCGGTCCCCTGCGCCCCCCGGCTCTGCCGTCTCTGCCGTCTCTGTGGCCGTCCTCGATCAGAGGTCTGGGTCTTCTGACTCCTGGGGGCAGTAGAGGCTGTGGCTGCAGAGTCCCAGTTCTGTGTGTGACCCTAAGGCCCCCACCCTTTCAAACCCCTCTGCTTTCTTGTCCACAACATGGGAATAACAGTAATGGATCCAGGGCCTAGGCTTGTGCGAAGACTCACGGGAATAGCCTTCTGAAGCGCCTGGCGCACCCAGGGCTTCTGGGCTTGCCCTCGGGGTCAGCGTCGCAGTTTCCCGGGGCGGCCGTTGTAGCTCCGCGACGCAGGTGACTCGCGTGCGCTCTCTGGGCTCCAGCCTCTGTTTGTATAACAGGGAGGATGGTACGGCGCCTGGCTCGTGGGACTCTTGGTCACCCCGATCGCGCGTGTTCTGCGGTTCACATCATGTCTCCTAGGAAGTACCAGAATAATACGTTACCACCCCCATGTTACCCCGTTCGCTCCTCACAGCTTCCACTTCTTCCTACGCATGAACCTTTTAATAAATGAGACACTATGAAAAATGATTCTTTAGTATCCCCATGACTGTGGCAGGGTTAGGTTACCCATTGCAATTTGAGATTTGCTGAAAAAATTCTCACCATCACCTTCTAATGGATGATCTGTGGACAACAATTGTTTATTGACTGTGAATGTCTAAGTACCAGGGTCGGTCTATTTCAAGGGGACGGAAGCATTAATTAACTTCCCGCGTGAGGTTCGGGGATCCTTTTCCAATGACTCAGTTCACGACTTTGCTTACATTTGCTCTTCATCAGTCCTGCAAGAATCGAGGTAAAATAGTTCCTCCGCACATGTGTGTCAAGCTAAATGGATAACAGCAGATACAGATCTGTTTGCCTGTCTGCACTTGCCTTTAGACAAAATTCATCAATTTTACAAAAGCCACCGCCTGAACATGGCACCAATACAAATAAGTGCTTCGGGCCTGTGGTTCAGCCCCTTGTTTTTAATCTGGTAAGTGCAGGAGCTTCCTGCTGAGAGATGGGACGTGCTGGCTGAGGACAGCACTGGGCCTCCCAGGCAGGGACAAAAAGGTCAAGGCCGTTGGCAGGAAGTTTAGGAATAGCACCGAGGTTCCCGGCCCCTGGGTGCTCCGGGCCACGCGGCCCTTGGTTAGTGACTGTCCACAGGAAGCACTTCTGCTGCTTTGCAAGGTATTAAAGATGAAGTAAAGACCATCCTAGTTTCACAGGTACCCTGCTTGCCCTTCCCAACTTCCGAGACAAGGAGAGGGTCCCCACCCTGGAGGAAACCGCCCCCCTCCCCCAGGAAAACCTCTCCCAAGCTGTGCAGCCCCCTCTCCCCGGCGGAGATCCCATATGGGAGGACTTCTGTGCGCGCTAAAGCCCTGGGCAAATCCAAGGAAGGAGGAGGGTTATTTTTGCGAACCAGTTTCATTTGGGTGGGAGACAGAGGGCTTGGCGAGCATGTCTGTCCCTTCGCATCAGGCAAGGCCAGTCTGACGGGAGCAGCACACGTCTCGCTTTTGAGACCACCAGGAGCAGCAGGGATGGGGGGACACAACCACCTTGTGCACGAGAGCAGTCTCCACGGCGAATACCACGGCCTCTTTGTAAGCGTTGCACACCCCACGCGCCCTGCGACACATATCGGGCCGAGTGGAGGCCTGCTCAGCCTTTGATAAAATAAACTCGGGGCCTCGGGACACGAGGGTGGAGGGAGCGTGCCTTCATTTGTTTCTTCGCCAAACTGCTGTCCCCAGCCGAAGACCCCTTTTGTGCTTTCAGACAGGGAGGTCAGTCTCTCGCTTTGGAGCCAGCCCGGGCAACCCACCGACCCCGGAGTCCCGGAAGGGCTGAGTCAGTCTCCCAGAGCAGCCAAAGCTACTGCTCGCGTCTCGCCCAACACACAGCACTGGACCCCTGGCCACCATCCTGCCCCCACCCCGGCCTCCTAATCTTCAGACAGAGATTTCCAGTTGATTACGCCTTGATTAGAGTCAGGAGAGAAGCAGGCCAGGTATATAGGATTCTCATTGTCCTCCCTCGGCTGCTCCCGACCGGGGTCAGGCTGAGAGGGCTCCCGGGGAACACGGAACAATCAAGCGCTGTTTACCATGGACGCTGAGTTTTCTTTTCTCAAAATCAAAACAGAGTTTAGTAGGCAGCATATTTCATACATGTCTCTTGATCAATAGAATGATCTGTCAGAAGCCATTAAAGCCCCCATTAGCTTGAATGCATTCAAAGCTAAACTATTGGATCATTTAAGAGCCGCAGTGATTGTTTTTAATATACTGTACATTGATTTCTCCCTGCAAGCAGGAACATAAGTTTGAAACTAACTGTGTATGACTGAGGCTTCATTTGCTGTCTCCAGCGCTCTGTGAGAAGCGTGGTTTCACTTCGACCAGAAATGTCTGTGTATGGTTTTTAAAGAGATGCAGACCCTGGTAGATTTCCCAAGGTTTAGGCTGGATCGGGTTGTTATTTTTTTCCCCGAGCTTTCTCCCATTTCTCCGTGCCCATTAAGTGAGCTGTACATGCAGAATGGGAGAGGCATTCAGCCAAGGACCTCAAGTGAAAGGAGGTGGGGAAATTTTTCTGAAAGCATGAAGCCCCAGCTGAGGCCACAACTGAAGTGAATTTGACAGCCCTGGGCCAGCAAACCTCTGTGCCCAGTAGGAAGCAACGTGGCTGTGTCGGTCACCCTTGCCGAGCCAGAGGCGAGGACA